AAAAAAAAAAAAAAAAGATTTAAAAAAAAACAGAAGTAGAGCTAGCTTTGAGCAAAATGCGCAGGGACACTGCCCAGGTCCTGAGTTCAAGCCCTAGGACCAACATAATAAAAACAAAAATTAAAATTAAAATGGAGACACTATATGAGGAAGATGATTTCCATGAGACATTTCCTTTTAAAGGGAAAGTGGCAGATGTACCATTGAGAGAGTACTATCTTAAGCTATTTAAAAGAGGCTAGTATGAAAATGTTTTAAATTGATTTAAAATGAACTCTAAGCTCTCATTCACCCATCTGTTCAAAATATTCCTTTTAAGTACTGTGAAAAGTACTTTTTACTATTGGAAATACAAGATTAAATATGGACCATAAGCATTTCGTAATTGATGAATGACGTGAGTTTTCTGTCTTGTGTCACAAGAGGAACTCAGCATTGCTAATGGACATATATTGTACATAAGAATGTGTGTGAGGGCTGGGAATGTGGCTTAGTGATAGAGTGTTTGCCTAGCATGAATGAAACTCTGGGTTCAATTCCACAGTTCCACATAAACAGAAAAAGCTGGAAGTGGCATTATGGCTCCGTAGTAGAGTGCTAGTCTTGAGCAAAAGAAGCTCAGGGACAGTGCCCAGGTCCTGAGTTGAAGCCCCAGGACTGGACAAAAACAAAAAACAAAAAAATGTGTAAAATGTAGCAGCTTAATAATTCTGAAATAACTCTTGCATGCAATAAAACAGGAGATGGGTGGGTAACCTCTGGATTTGGGTGGTAGAAGCTTGAAGATCATGAGTTTGAAACCAGATTGGGATATAGAAAGACCCTATCCCAAACAAAGATGGCAAGAAATGTGAGATCTTTCCATTCCCACTGTTCTGCTTATTCTACATTTTTAAGTACCTCTTTGCATTTCTTCCAAGATTCCAATCTAGAACTAAATATCAAAGACTATTTCTTACTTCAACTTCACAATGAAGAACTAGACTGAGGCTACTTCACATAGCATGCCTCAGGACAGACTTCCTGTAATATCAGAACAGAAGCAAAAAGGAGCTAAGCAACAAATCTTCCTTCTCTAGCTGTCAAGTCCTTTGACCTCCAAGACCCAGCAGAATCCTTACTGAACCTTTTATTTATTTATTTATTTTCTGTGTTGGTCGTGGGGCCTGAACTCTGGGCCTGGGCACTGTCCCTCAGCTCTTCAGCTCAAGGCTTGAGCCACAGCGCCACTTCTGGTTTTTTCTGCTTAAGTGGTGCTAAGGAATTGAACTCAGGGCCTGAGCCACCTTCCCAGCCCACTTACTGAACCTTTTAAGCTTCTGACACTCCCCAGTAACGAAAGTCCCCCAGCAGAGTTCAAGCCCCACACTGACAAAAAAAAAAAAAGGGGGGGTGAGGGATAGGTTAAAAACAATTTTAAAAAGCACATGCTTGACAAGAAATGTACTCATTTTCTTACTCATGTAACTGTAACCCCTCTGTACAGCATCTTTACAAAAACAAAAAACAAAACAAACAAAAAACAACAAAAAACACATGGTGGGGTGTTGGTGGCTCATGCCTGTAATCCTAGCTACTCAGAAAGCTGGGTTCTGAGGACTGCTTTAGAAGCCAGCTTAGGCAGAGAAGTTCTCATGAGACTCTTATCCAGTTAACCAGAAAATCAGAAATAGTGCTATGGCTGAAAGTGGAAGAGCACTAGCCTTAAGCAGAAAAAATGCAGGGATGGGCCTAGGCCTTGAGTTCAAGATCCATGACCAACAAAACAACAACAAAAGACATGGAAAGGTTGTAAAGCAGGAAAAGACAATGGAAGGTAAATGTTGCTTTATTTTAAATATTTAAGGACTCAAAAACAAAGAAAATCTGTTTGCACTGGGTACAAACCATAATCTTCCTAAGCATCACAGATATTTGTAAAACCCAAATTATGTTCACAAAGCAATTTCTTGATTCCTGATTAACATCACAAAAAATAGATAAGGCTTAGCAACAAACCAATAGGTAATTCTATATTGCTTTAATTTGAAACCAACTAGCTCTAAATTATTCACCTAGCTCAAGAATAGACATGTATATAACTCAAAATGATAAAAAAAAAACAAACCCAGACCATTTAAATTTTACTTTGGAATGTGCTTTTTATTTCAGTTAACACAGGTTATGTCTAGATTTTAGCAATTAACTTAAAGGGATGTTATAGGAAAGGGGAAATGCACAATGCCAAGCTTGTGACTCATCCCATATTAAGAACTGAAGATGTTTGAGGCATTATCCTTTTCTTCACACTTTTTTGTTTAACCTTTCATTTTTTTTCTTTTACCAACATGCATGAGTAGTTCTATTATTTTCATTAGTAATAAAGTATTTTTGTTTGGAAAACAAAAGTATCACATTTTTCTAGAGAAGGTAAAATGATTGAGGCCAGAGAACTTCTCTGCAATAGAGTACTTTTAAAAAAATACTAATAGAACCAGACAATAATGAAACATTAGCAAAGCAGTAGTTTTAAGAGCTTTTAGGTTTTCAATGCCAGTAATTTGAATATTTTGTAGAAAATATTAGAAGGAACAGTAGTTTCAGCAACCAACAGGGAATAAAGCAGGAATGTTACTTAACTTTAAAGATAGTTTTGACAGGTAATTGATTAAAGATTTATTTTGTTGTAACAGCACAAAGTCAAAGCTTTTATAAGCAAAACTAGGTACAAGTTAATAAATGTTGATGATCGGAAAGGTTACTATTTTTTAATGTTAGATGAAGATTAAGACAGATCTTAAGAGTAGACCAGGGCAACCTTACTTAGACAGTATAGACATAAGAGTATCTAGATGTTATTTTCAGATGATACTAAAAGATATGAGCGGGTGAAAACTGGTACTTTCACACAATTGTGTGTGTGTGCTACAATTGGGGCTTGGAATTTGGGGCCTGGGCACTGTCCTTCAGCCTTTTCAGCTTAAGGCTTGTGTTCTACTACTTGAGCTCACAGCTCTTCCTGCCTAGGCTGGTATAGAACTACAATCCTGAGGTCCCAGTCTCTTGAGTAGCCATAATTACAGTTGTGAGCCATCAGTACTTGGACAGAAGTTCTTAAGCATGTTCTGAAGTATCAGCAATGGTTATGAAATTCATCTAAGTCTTTTTTTTTTTTTTTGCCAGCTAGTCTTGGGGCTTGAACTCAGGGCCTGGGCACTGTCTGTGGGCTTCTTTTGCTCAAGGCTAGCACTCTACCACTTGAGCTACAGTGCTTCCAGTCTTTTGTTTATGTTGTACTGAGGAATCGAACCCAGGGCTTCATGCATGCTAGGCAAGCAATCTACCATTAAGCTACATTCCCAGCTCAGCCAATACTGTCTATTGAAGTTACCATCTATGACAACACAAGCTGAGCCATATACTGTTGCATTATAACTTTGTTTAGAAACCCACAACATTTTACAAGTTGTGTAAGAAAATTCAACATAAGGATGCTTTGGGCTATACTTCAGTCTTTAATATTTTAAAAAAGTTATTAGCAGCCGGGCGCTGGTGGCTCACGCCTGTAATCCTAGCTACTCAGGAGGCTGAGATCTGAGGATCGCGGTTCAAAGCTAGCCCAGGCAGGAGAGACTCCTATCTCCAATAAACCACTAGAAAACCAGAAGTGGCGCTGTAGCTCAAGTGATAGACCACTCGCCTTGAGCTGAAGGGCTGAGGGACAGCGTCCAGGCCCAGAGTTCAAGCCCCACGGCTGACCGAAAAAAAAAAAAAAAGTTATTAGCAGGGTGCTGGTGGCTCACACCTATAATCCTAGCTACTCAGGAGCCTGAGGTGTGAGGATCACAGTTTGAAGTCAGCCTGGGCAGAAAAGGGCCCTCAGACTCTTTATGTCCAATTAACTACTCAAAAACTGGAAGTGGAACTGTGGTAGTGCGAGCTTTGAGCAAAAGAAGCTCAGGGGCAGTGCCCAGGCCCTGGGTTTAAGCCCCACAATAGAAAAAAAAAGAGAGAGAATAATAAAAAAGTTTTAGCATTTATTTTAGTAAAACAGTATTTATAGGGGCAAATGGAACATTATTTCCTATTTCCTATGTAAGCAATGGGAGTTAAAGACTTGACTTTTAAAATAAAACAAACATTCTCATCTTGTTGTTTAAAAAAATGCTTTCATTTTAATGATCTGAGTTAGTAACAAACAAATATACAAAATTGTCATTCACATTTCCATACATTGTATTATGGACCAATTGAAAACTCTGGACTACAAATGCAAGTTTCTTTGTATCCTTAACTTCAATTATTGTCACTTACAAATAAATGTGATTTGCAGTAACATGCATTTGCGAACACAGATGTCCAAAGCTGTGCATGTAAGTTAATGCACAGTAGTATACACATTGTTCATTTGTGCAGTTGTGTGTCAAGTATATCTGACACAGAAGCAGCTTTCCTGGGCTATTATACTCTATCTGAAAAGTATTTTTGTAAAACAGATGGAAATAAAGACTAAAATGAAAATCCTATTGTACCACTGCAATAAAATTCATCACTTACACAACTGAAACAACTTTTCGGAAAGCTGCTTCAATAAACAATGCTGCTGCACTGGTTACAGACATGGGCTGGAATAAAACTGCTTTAAATATGTATACTATGAGGCTAGTTATAGTTTTAAATGGGACATTTTGGCAACAGTCCTAATGCTTGAGTCTACCCATGAACATTCAGAAATTTGGAATTTTAAAATAATCTGAAATCTTCTTCACTACTATAAAATGCAATTTATATTTCCTCCTGTAAGACCAGTGATTCCTATGGCATAGGTTCAAAGGAAAAGTGAGTTCTTAGTTCAACTTGCTGCAATAATGCTTAAGTCATAAAATCATGATTTCCGAAGGTGATCAAATAAGTGGAAACTGGAACTTTTAATGAAAGTGGCCAGAAAGCCTTCTCCAACCACTCATCTGAACTAGTAATGAATACCAACACATAATGACTTTTTACATTAAATTATTTCCAGATCTCTATAGGTAGGAAAAATCCAATCTTTCTTAAAAATATTTTCCTCGGTTATAGCAACATATGCTTTACCTCTGTAAGTCTATTTACAACCTAACAGTATTCCTATATTATAAATTTCAAATGCCCTGGCAAGGAATGTAATGCTAACCAACTATATTTATGTGACTTCATATGAGAAGTTCTTGTGTGTAGTCCCACTTTTCTCTAAGGCTTGAGGCTGATGTTCTCCTATGTGATATGGAACAAGCAAGATGGTGCATCTGAATAACAGGGTCTGTTTCTCTGAGTCAGTGTTATAGGACTTGGCCTCTCATTATGAAAACATGTGTTTTGCTAACACAACTAAAATTGTAAACACTTTGAGGACAACTGCAGTCCAAAAGGAAAGAGATTATTTTCTATGGGAAACAAGATTAAAATTTAAGGAAACATCTTTGTTGTCCATGGGCTTAAAGTTCGGTCATCTACTTCAAGTTACTCAAATGCATGATGAGTTTTAAAAATACTTAAAACCATCTATTCTTCAAGGTAAGCCAGGGAAGTAATGGGAAGATCTACCACACTGTTGGGAAATGTAGCTTCCTATTCTGCACTTTGGAAGCCAAGTCTAACAAGAAAGAAATATGGCTGCTTCCTGCTCTTCTCCATATGTAAAATTAATTTTATGATTCTTCCACTGTGCATATTCTCTGCATCTTTTATATGAGTTAGGCAAAGTAAATCTAATGGTTACTTTCGTTTTACAAAATAAGTTAAAAAAGAACTTTAAGAAGTGGAACATTTGAACCATTAAGAAACTTCCATTATTGAGTACTTTGTTTAATGGCAGGTACAAGCACTAAGAATTATTGCTTTCAATAAAATAACCTTCAGAAATAAATATGTAAGCTTAATTCAAATATTCATTTTTACCCAATGCTACAATGTTTTATTCTCAAGTCAAGTGGCATATTCAATTATTTGACCACTCCAGTTGGCCTGCTAACTCAATATTAAGATACTAGAAATATCCACATAAGCATGTCTTACTTGGGCACTGAACAGTAACGCTTTTTCTTGACAGGATTTAAGGCACTAAATGGTGGTAAAACAAACAAAAGTATGATGACTACAATTTCTTTGACTTCTAAAACAGGAGATAATTTAGAATGACACTAGTAAATCTTTTCCATAAACAAATAAGGCATCCTGTTTGGCAAATGTAAATGAAATATAAGGTCTTGTTGAACCAGTATATTCACTGTCTCAGCTAAACTGCTTGGAATATTAGCTATTGAACTTAAGAAAGCTACGATAGTGTGTATAAAGGTTAAAAGGCACCAAAAGGAGAATTCCATTTCCAGTTCTAAGTTAGGGAAGCTGTTCGTAGCACTGCATATTATCTGATTACTAGTTCCATGTTTCAACATGTATCATGCAGATTTTTACTTTGACAAATCAGTTTATATCAAGTGCTAATTTAGTAAAAAATTTATGGAAATGAATTAAGAAAACTGCTGCAGTGTTTAACACAGCCCCATATATAAAGCTAAACTAATTCTAGCACTGAGTGCACATTGTGAGTAACACTGGAACAAACCTGCATGAACAAAAATGATTACCTCAAGATAGAATTCACGATAGATATTTGACATATGACTAAATAGGATTTACTGAAAACGATGAAGTACAGTACAGATATAGAGGCATAATTATAACCACAGCATTTTCCTTGTGAAAAATACAACTATTAGTAAAATAAAATGTACAGCTGAAAATCTTCCAAAGGAAAAGACACAGTATAAACGAAAATACTTTTCTTTGTGATAGGGAAAATAGTATGTCACTGTTTTTCATCACAATATAATTTGACACAAAAAGCAGTCATAGAATTGCACCGATTCCACATCCAGTTTCCTGAACATGTTAAAGAGTCCATAAAGCAGAATGCAGTTTCTGAATTTTATATTTTAAATTGATGATATTCTCACACAAGGATGTCATGTCCTACCAGATCTGTTTACACAATGTACAATACTTTCGGTTTTGTGGCTCAAGCGGAGGTGACTCTGCCATGTCTCTCATTCTGACATTTAATCAGTTAGGGAGGGTAAAAAAATCAAATTAAGTGTCATTTCTCTGGCAATAAAAGTTATATTTAGTGCATGCTTCATCATTTGTAAAAAACAAAACTCAGTTACCCAATGGTTTAACAAAATAGAAACCATTCATTAGGATAAAAATGTGGTGGGACTAAGGTGATGTCTAAGGACTGACATCTGTGGCAGCACCTCTGTCTTTAGCCGAAGTCCCGGTGAAAGTTCGCTGATGGAAGCTGTCATGCCCGCACCGCTGTTGGACGACCACCTGTGATGACCCCCTCCGCCATTTCATTAGTGCTATAAAAATGGTGGGGTGTTTGTGGAAATGTTAGGAGCATTTCTGCTGTACATGGTTTAGAAGTTCTCCAAATTTTTCAAATAGGTCCTCCACCCATTTTGCATTTTTCATACAAAGTTGAACAATTTCCTCCTGTCCTAAGTCTTCATTTTTTTTCTGCACAGAAGAAATCTAAAATAAAAAAAAATTGACCTGTTGAAGTCTGCCCTTATTATCATTGGATTTATGGTGGCATAGAAGGTTTGAACAGTGACTCAAACTTTCTTAATTTCTTCTATTTGTGTTAAAAACCGAATGACAATACTGATGTCAATTCTGCATCTCAGAGTAAATATCAACAGTTTGCATTACCATCTTTGCCTCTCCTTTGCTAGAATGAGATTACATTTATGAAAATCCATTTTATACTAATGTCTAATACATCGCAAATGGGTTTGGGCTAAACTTAACCACTGATAATGAAATTAACACTTACATTTGTCATACTTAAAAATTATAATTAAAAATTGACCTCTGCAAATAAGTAGAATGAGGCCATTTTTAGAAATAAGACAATGAGAGATCAAACCAGAGGAATCATTCTACTTTATAAAAGAAAATTGCCATTTATTATGGCAATATAAATCAAGTTCTAGAAAGTTAAAACATTACTAGTTAGAGCTCAAGAGGTAGTAGTAAGGCTCTGAAAAATCTGAGCCAAATCACTGCTCAGCAACTCAAAATAATGTACTAATTACTTACAGAAAGATAAAGCAAAATACACACATTTTAGAATTCTTTCTAAAGGTTTCATAAATACTATTGCTAGACTATCTTCAATATTAAAGAAAAAGCTATTTCTTTTTTAAGTAAATGAAATTACCTCATTCTTACATATCAGATACACATGATATTTATAATGATGGAGTGAATGATACAGAGAATACAACTGTATTTTCTCTGGATCAACAGCAAACTCCTGTAAAAAGAAAAAAAAATGTTTATGGATATTTTCATGGGACAGTTGAGCTAAGAATACCTTAGAAAAATATCTGGTCAGAAGTCACAAAAATCATGAAAATGCTTTACAGAGTTAGGGATCAGGGTATTAATATACACAAAAGTTTACTAAGTTTGAAATACAGGGCTGGGAAAGTGGCTCAGTGGTAGAGCGCTTGCTTTGCATGCATGAGGCCCTGGGTTCGATTCCTCAGCACCACATAAGCAAAAAGAAAAAAGCTGGAAGTTTGGAACACACACACACACACTCACTCACTCACTCACTCTTTCTGTTGGTCATGCAGCTTGAACTCTGGGTGGGGTGATGTCCTTAAGTTTTTGTGCTCAATGCTAGTGCTTTCTTTACCACTTTGAGTCAAAGCTCACTTCCAATTTTGGGGTAATTAACTAGAAATAAGAATCTCAGTCTTTTTTTGCCTGGGCTGGCTTTGAACCATGAACCTCAGAACTCAGTCTCCTAAGGAGCTAGGATTACAGGCATGAGCCAATACCACCCAGCTATTTTTATTTACTTTTGTGCTGGTCTCACATTGTGATTCTCTTGACCGGCCCAAGTACTGACACTGCCGTGCTCAGCTAGACACACATATCTAGGCATTTTTTAACGTGTTTCTACAAAATACATTTTTTAATTTACTCAGGCAAGAGCTAGATTTTATTACGGTGAAGTGATTGGGAGCAATAGTGCATGCCCAAAGGAGGCAGAGGATATCCAGAAGTCAAGTTCTAAAATATATTACTGGTGTGCAGCTGCTATGCTGACAGAATGCTGAGGTCTATAACCATTTACTATATGTGAAGGTGAACAAATACTAATTTAGTGATTTCCAGAAAGGAAGTCAGCATTCAATCTTAGGGAGTGTTTATATAATCACCTGCATGCACATGTATCCAAAGAAAAAGCTACAAACAGGTCATGAATAAGTTAGCTAGTTCACTATTTGTACATATTTAAAAAAACAGGCTATACATGACTAATATAATTTTATTTGCCAATTAAAAATTAAAACTATACAAATTGTAATGGAATAATTCTTTTTTTATTATTTTAAGAAATCTATATACTTATATATATTTTTATTACCTACTAGGTATTAATGTGGGGATAGGAGAAAAACATCAAACAAAACTGAGTCCCTGTTCAGCAGGCCAGAAATATTCCATATAAGAAGCTTTCATGCTTAATAACAACACAATGAGAATATTTTCATGTTTGAGTGGTTTAGACAGGAACAGTATTATAACAACTGGAAAAGTTATACTTTCATTAAACAATATATACTTACTTGAGCAGATTTAGCAGTTGTTTTGGAAGTTCTTAGAGTTTTCTTATTATAAGCTTTGCCATTCATTTTGATTTTAGAAATAGCTGATCCTCCAGTTTTTGCTTTAGAGTCTCGAGTAATTATTGTTAGTTCAGGAAAACTTTCCAAAGCAGTCTTTAAAACAATAAAGCATATTAACTGACATTAGAATTATAGTTCCATCTTCCCAAATTCAAACACACACAAACACACAGAGGAAACTGATATGATCTAATAAATATACACAGAACACAGTGTAGACATCGTTACAAATTCTTTGCACCTTCTCCCATTAGATATAGGATCTATTTCCCTATTTCTTGAACCAAGGCAAACAATGAGACCTGTTTTTAAGCAACAGTACCCTGCAATGAAATAATTTCAGTTTGTCACAGTAATGGCTTTCTGGCATGGAAGTAGAGGACATAGGACCATACAGGTTTCTTCCAAGTTCAGTCACTTAAACAGTGGTTAAGGGCTGGGAAGGTGGCTTAGTGGTAGAGTGCTTGCCTCACTTGCCCTGAGTTTGTTTCCTCAGCACCACATAAGCAGAAAAAGTCAGAAGTGGCTCTGTGGCTCAAGTGATAGAGCACTAGTCTTGTGCTGAAGAGCTGGGGGACAGTGCCCAGAGTTCAGGCCCCACGACCGACAAAAACAAAAAACAGTGTTTTAATGCCCCGAAACAGCCACATCTACTGTAAAGAAGTCATCTGCCCTCAGACTAAGACGACAAGATACCAATGTTTCTCTGCCCTCACTACTTCTCTTGCTTCTTTTCACTGCACAAAATGTACCTCTAAGTTAAGGTCCTAAAAACAGCTTGGTGAATCTTTTCACCCACAAAGACATGGTAGCTGGTAGACACAGGCCAGAACGAATTCTATTCTGTTCCTTAAAAGCCATTGATGTGCCGGACGCTGGTGGCTCATGCCTGTAACCCTAGCTACTCAGGAGGCTGAGATCTGAGGATCATGGTTCAAAGCCAGCCTGGGCAAGAAAGCCCATGAGACCCTTATCGCTAATAAATCATCAGAAAACTGGAAGTGGGGCCATGGCTCAAGTGGTAGAGAGCTAGCCTTGAGCTGAAGAGCTGAGGGACAGTACCAGAGTTCAATCTGCACGACTGACCAAAAAAAGAAAAAAAAAAGCCATTGATGCAAGTATGCCCTTACCAACTTAGCAGGGCATCCTGACAATGAAAAGTTTCAAGCAAAGACAGGCACCAGCGGCTCACACTTATAATCCTAACTACTCAGGAAGCTAAGCTCTGAGGATCATGGTTTGAAGCCAGCCCAGGCAGGAAAGACTGTGAGACTCTCATCTCCAATTAAATCACAGAAAAAGCCAGAAGTGGTTCAAGTGGTAGAGCACTAGGTTCAAGGAAAAGGCACTTGGGAACACTGCCCAGGCCCAAAATTTAAGCTTCAGGACTGGCAAAAAAAAAAAAAAAGTTCTAAACAGTAACCAAATGATACTTGCAGTAAAACTGGACTACTTAGTTATAATTTCATACAAGTTAGATTGAGCTACATCAATTTTTTTTTTTTGGTTGGTCATGAGGCTGAATTCTGGGCCTGAGCGCTGTCCCTCAGCTCTTCAGCTCAAGGCGAGCGCTCTACCACTAGAGC